CTAGAAAAGAAAAGAATAGATATGTATATATATATATATTATATACAGGGTGATTCTAAATTGTTTTTACAAATTAAGAGGTGTGATAGCACTCATCCAGATGAGCTGTAATTATTATAGAACATAGGATGGCATTCCACTCTGAGAAGCATAAAAGAGGAAGGAATATTAGAATTTCAAACTGAACTTACAACAGTGTTGAGAGAGCAAATGAACGAGACCAAAAGTTGCACAGTCAGTTTAGTGAAAAACTCGTAGAGAGTGCACAAAATGGATTAATTTGAGCTAAGACTTCTGATGGCAAACACTCAAATGCACATCATTGGTTGACAAGGTCTTAACCTTGATAACAATTGCAACAAGTTAATTATCTAATCAAGGGTTAAATATTATAAATTAACTCCAGCTTTCTCTGTATGCCTAGATCTGAAAAGTTCATGTTGTGTTCCGGCTGTCAGAACTTAGTGTCCCATAGAAGAGCACTTCAAGTAGAATGAGTGCAGCACAGTAAGTCCAGGAGGACAAGATGGAAGATGGCGAAGGCTAAGAAAACTGCTACCTTGATACTTGATATCAAGGTAGCAGACTTTCCCCCTAATAGATAATTTCCCCCTAACAATTTAGATAATTAACTTGTTGCAATCGCTTGTTAGGTTGAGACCTTGCCAACCAAAGATGTGCATTTGAGTGTTTGTCATCAAAGTCTGAGCTATAATTAACGCTCAAAAGCCACGTTTTCGGGTTTTATCTGTTTTGTGAACTCTGCGAGTTTTTCACTAAACTGATTGTGCAGCTTTTGGTCTTGTTCATTTGCTCTCCCAACACTGTTGTAAGTTCAGGTTGAAATTCTAATATTCCTCTTTTCTGCCTCTCAGAGTGGAATGTGACCTTATGTTCTATTATTGCTCATCTGGATGAGTACTATCACCCCTCTTAATCTGTTGTAAAAACAATTTAGAATCACCCTGTATATATAATATATATATATTGCAAATTTTGATAACCTTTTAATAAATTAAATAATGTATGTTATGAAGAAAATTGAAAAAAAAAAAATCTCCAGGTTCTTTAACTGTTTTTTATCTGTTCAAGAAGGAAAACGTTTGAGTAACTTTTAGAACAAAACTTTTTGTTATTCCTTGGACAGATATTCAATTCTACATATAAAAAGTTATGCATCAAATTAATTTATTATTCACAGCTAACTTAATTTAAAGTGGAAATCAGAAAAAAGTTGACAAAAACACGTGGAAAGGTATAAACAAAAGTTGCCTTTTTGACATTGGTCTGCTTCAAATATGTTCTGTCCATGCTGCTGAAACACCTGTGCTTGTCCACTTCTGTTAACAAAAAATTTCTCGTCATCTGAGTGTTAAATTCCCAGAAAGTTAACAATTGCCTACTTAGTTGAGGTGGATATTTTCCTTGAAGGTTCATATTTACTGCCAGTTTTCAGTTTTGTCCCTTGAGTGGATTGTAATGGAGAACGTCAGCAGCACAGAGTTTTAATAGCAATAAGCAGTGAGGTGATGTTACTACACAAAAGAGATGGAAAGGTAACTCAAATAAGACAGATACTCATACAGTGAAAGAATAACACTTCATTCAACATGTCCAGAAAATTGTGAGTCATGTGTTAGTGTTACTCTGAAAGCATCAAACTTGGGCGAGTGAGTAGCTATTGAATAATGTAAAAATGTTTAGATAGCTTCCACTGCAAAAGATGTGTAAAGGAAGCAAACAAAGAGTTATTATAATGGCTGCCCCAGCACAAACTATTTTTCTGAACGTTTTTGGAACAATTTTATCAACCCATAGCTCCTCTCTTCTCTATCTATTAATGAACAGTATATTCTTCTGTTTAGAATTGTAATTGGTTTTTACTGTAACATATTTTCAGAAGTGTAATTTCCCTTCATGATTTTGAATGATGTGATTTAAAAGCAATTACATTGTATAATTATATATTACAATAACTATTTTAATTAAATACTTTTTCCCCTTCCAATTTAATTCTTAGTTTTGTTTTATTCGGAAATGCTATAGGCTAATTTATTATGGATGATATACTGTTTTATAAATTATTTGCAAAATGATTTTTTCCCCCTTCAGGATTCTCTTTCTTTTTTAAAAGCCTTTTTTTTTTTTTTTTTTTTTTTTTTTTGAATGGTTTGATGCATGTTCCTATGTATATATATATATTTTATTACTTCACAGTAATGAGTGAGATAAATAAATTTTAAAATATTTTTAGTTATTTTATTGTATTTCATATTACTCATTTAGTTCATTATGCACCAGAGAAAAGTAGAAACTAAAATTTATTTTCAGAATGCAGATTAGATCATTACTTTAATAATATTTTTTATAATTTTGAGCGTAGAGTTGCTGTAAAAAGTTTCGATTATGAGAGTTAAGCTTTTTCATTATCTCTTATTATTGTGAATCTTCACATGAATATGCTAAACACTGAGAGGCATTATGTGCACTGCATTGTTTGCACAGCTGGTTTATAAATTCTTATTTTTATAAAGAGAATTACTAAATATAGTTGATAAATCAGCCGTTTAAACTAAAATGTCTATAAATCTGGGTTTCAGTTATAACCATGTCAGGAAACTTATTTCTTAATAATATATTAATTCTATTATATATTAATAACTTGAAAATTGGGCTATATGTTTAATATATATTTACAGTTAAAAATATAGCTTTTTATGTAGTTGGCAAGATTCCATTTATACAGGTGATCAAAGTGGGTTGTTATTACAAAAGCTTTATTCATAAATAAAATACTTAGTAAAAAATTGCTTTATCTGTTGTTAATGAGATGGATGGATCTTAATTCTTGTCAATAATTATTAATGTGTAATTTATATATATATATATATATATATATATTTTAAAAGAATTAAACTTTTGTCTTATATAGTTTCTGTTGAATGATGTATTTTTATCAAAAATGTAATTAAAAGCGTAATTTTCTATTGAATAGCATTTTTTACTTTAAAATTTGTTACAAATTCTGTGTAATCAAAATTGATGCATAAATTATCTTTGCCCTGCTGAATTTAAATGATTACATTTAGTATTTTATATAGTAAAAAAATGTATAGCAGAGAAGTTACAATTTGTTCTAATTTTCATATCTTTACAAGTCAAAACAGTCCCATCTTTGGCTGCACAGCTAAAACTACAGAATGCTGATAGTTTAAACATGATTTGATCTCTTGTGCAATGGAAGTCAAATACTGATTGAATTGCAAAATTATGTAACCACCATGTAAACGGAAAAGGGGAATAATTGTTATATTCTGCTACATGTTTGCATGCATGTTTCTTTTTATAATGAATAATAAGCTAGCAAAGTAAGATAATTTTGCTTAGCAAATCTTTCACAGTATATTTCCTAGTGTAATATAACCATTATGAATGAGATAAAAGACACGTAATGGAAAAATATTTCTACACTTTCTTCTCCAATTCTCAATAAATCTTTTATTCATTAGAGTTCAGTATACTTAAAATGTTAAAGTTTGCATTATGATACATGTCCTATCGTTGATTCTGTAATCTTCTTAAAAAGATCTTTCAGAGCCTGCAATATTTACAAATAATAGCTTATAATGCCTATGGGTGCAAGATTTTATTTGTGATAATGATCCTGCCATTCATTACTAGAATGAATATTTGGAATCAAAAATCTTAGATCTGCAATATCTAGGAATTTGTAATCTTGCAGGTTATGTTTTAGCCATACAGGTATAGCATGCTTTGCTGTAATATAATGATTTACATACATTTTGAACTGTTACTTTTACTTTGTTATAATATAAGCAGTTCTGTGGATTTTGAATTGAAAGCCTTTTAAATTCATTTGATTTTGAAGGTCACTACATAACTTCCCTTTCTCAATCTTGAAATCCCAAAATGTGTTTGAGAAATATTTTATACAATAAGAAATTATTACTGAAAATGCTAGTTTTTGGCAGGTAATATGTTGCTTTATAATGTTTGATTCATATCTGAGTCATTTAGGAAAGGTAAACTTTTGTTGAATTACGAAATATTTTAACTGGTTTGCCTCATAAAAAAGTGTGATACTAAGGTTTTTTTAGGTTTTCTTCAGTAATTATAAAATTTGGTGATATTTTATATGTTTATAATCTTGGAATATTTAATGTTATATTTTTTATGTGACTGTTTAGAAATTTCGGTAATTATATAATTATCAAAATAAAAAACTTAAGTTTTGCTTTTTGCACATTGTAAATTGGTATTATAAAGCTAAATTAAAAGCTCTTTTTCTAATTTTTTAGGCTTCTTTAATTTTCCTGTTTAGTATTTATTTTATAGAATGAATGCTGGAAACCGCTGTTTAGATCAGGGGTTCTCAACCAGTGGTACGCAAGAGAAAAATAGGTGGTACGCAAAGAAAGCAAAGTATTTTCAACTATTAAATTCAAAAATTAAAACAATAACATCCTGATTTTTTCTTTAGCACTCGTAAATTTATGCAATCTGAACTTTGTTAAGGAGTGGTAGTAGTACTTTGTAATGCTGGTACTAAATGTTTTCAATTTTTGTTTAGATGGTATACATTAGTGAAAAGGTTGAGAACCGCTGGTATAGATGGTGCACCTACTGAATATGCCATTGAATAAAAATTTAGTGAACGTTTAAGCAAATATATTTTCGTCTGTAATTACCATCTAATTTGAGGCCGGAGCTTTAAATGTATTAAAATATTTCAAAATAATTATGTGTTTTATTTTAGTAATTTTAAAATGCTTTAATTAATGGGCATTGTGTTAACAATCAGTATTCTAAAACGAATAGTTTACTATCTTAAAGCTGTAACTTTCTTTCTATTGACTATATTAAGTTTTATGCCTGAAGCAAAGTGGTAAAATGTAAGCGAGATCGTGTTTGCTCTTGAATTTGCCCGGATGAATGTTTTATTTCTATTATAAGTCAATAACTTAATTTTCATTTTAAAGATTGAATGCAAAAGAGCTGAGCCAAGGGATTCTTATCGCCGTAATGCTGGGCAACCTTATAACACATACCAAAATTCTCAGAATGGAAGCATGAAACCGTCCTCTTTTGGACCTGGAAATTCTGCTGGTTATCAGACCCCTGGATGGAATGCACCTCAACAACCATACATGATGCAAGGTAATAATATACATATGCAAAACAGAGTTCACTATGACTACAGTATAATTGTACAGATTGTTTACTCACTGATTATGTATTATTATTTTGTAATACTATCAATATTGGTGATTACATTTAGTTACATTATGAAGGCAGAAAAAAATTAAATGCGATTATTGCAGAATTTGTTTAGCAACAGTCCTTAGTTTTGTGTGACATTTGTTATTGGTCTTTAATTTTGCTCATCTGACATTTCTATCTCTTTCCCATAACTATTATTTGGAATGTGAAATAGTATTTTGAATGAATATGAAATTCAAACCACATGGCTTAACAGAGGCTTGCAAGCTAGCTTGTAAACAAAGAGCAATCAGCCATTTCAGAATGAAATTTTCAGGGTGCCTGATTGGTTGGTTGTTCACGCTGTCTTCAAAAACAAGTCTTATTAACAGAAAGCTATCTGTTTGTATTTTTAAAAAAGTTGCTTTTCCTTATGATTATGTTTCATGACAAAAGTGTGACCTTAGAAAAGGGGGAATTGTGATTTTAGTCAAGGTCATGCTTCCATTAGCTGTTAATATTGAATACAAAAATTCTTCACAGATGTGTATAAAACACATGGAATGGGCTATTGAAGGGGGGACAAGGGGATAGATTATTCTGAAATTATTTGCTAATATTAGAACAATGTAAATCGGTGGGAATTCATGCATAGTCAGTTTTAACTACCCCAGCTCTAGGGCCATTAGGAACAATGCATATCTGCAGATGTTTACTGTAGTTTTTGCCATCCTATGCATAAAATAAATTTTTAGTTTTTATAAAAGTGCCAAAAATACCGGTTTAGTGATTCAACACCAAATATGTATTTAATTTGCGTACTAATGGCTTACCATTGAAATTCTTTCCTCTTTATTATATTGAAAAGAACATCCCTTTTTTAATGTGAATTATTTTATTGTGTCTTGCTAAATATGGCAGGTTATCAAGATTTTGGTAATTTTAGTTACAGTTTGTCATAATTTTTTATTTGGATGCTATTATTATTAATATTTTTTAAATGCTTTTCCTTTCTGTCTCCCTTCCCCCCCATTTTTCTGATGACATTGCCAAATATGACAATGGGTTAGCTGCTGAGGCAATTTTTATGTCTATAGACTGGAGTGGTTCTTGCAAGATTTAAAGCAAGGACCCATCATTGATGACTGAAAATCCAAAAATACCTAAGCTGTGACAAATTCCATGGTATTAATACAGAACTGATGTATTTTACAGAAAGATTCTGATGACTTTTTATCTTTATGTTGACCATTTCTATTAAAGTCTTTCTATTGACACAACCCCCCTTTTTTTTTTAAAATTTCCTCTTTTTCTATTTTAATTTTTTCTTTATAAGCCAAAGTGGGGAACATTGCCAAAAAGATTTTAATCTTGTCACGTCAACAGGCATCTACAGAAGAGAATACTTCTGTTACGATGTTGGTAACTGGTAATTTAAAGCATTTTCATTTTATATTTCAGTACACCCTATACAATTTCAACTAGTTTTCTGGAGTTATTTCCAGTATTGATGTAAAGAAACAAGATTAGGAATATCTTCTACAGATTCTGAATATATGCAGGTTTTTAGAACAACAAACATCTCTTAACTAAATCTGAAAATTTAGAGATGTATGGAAATATTATTGAGGAATAAATTGATTATATAAATATAAAAAATTTTATTTTTCAAAAGGATATTATTGAAGATACTATTATTAGCATCAGCCGATGAAGCAAAGACTAGTAAAAACATTGATTTGTTATTAAAATACATTAACTAAGGTTTTATAGAGGAGGAAAATGCTAAAATTATATAAAATATTTAGGAAATTTCAAATTAAAAAGACAAATAGTTTAGAGTTATGGATATTTCAGAGCTTTTGATGTATAATTGCTCCTATAGTTGTTTAAAACTACCATTGTAAATTATATATGTGGTTACCTATTACTTTTAAATACAAAATTTTTTCGATTATGATTTTAATAGTGCTTTTTAATGAAAATTTTTTTTAAAGTTAGGGATTTTTTAATAGTGATAATTTAAATCTCATTTAAAATATATGTCCATTATTATAAGTGTGAAATATAAACATTTCAAGAATTTATGTTCCTTATTTCATGTTAATTAGAGAAAGAGAATTTAATTACAGTTTTGTTTTACAGCTATTTTAAAATATTAAATTACATTTAACAACAATGCATTTTATATACAAATGAAAATTAGTCATGGATAAACTATAGTTAACTATCTCAATATTATTTCTATAAAGAAAACCAACATTCCAATAAGAAGACATAATATAATAATATTGACATTACAATATCTTATAATATATCTTCGTTTTTACTACTCTGTAACTTATATTTTACTCGTTCTTATTGCTGTCTCTACTGCTCCGTAGGCCTCAAATTGTTATTGCTCGGCTCCTATATTGAGCTGACATAAAGTTTAACTAGAAAGGAAGGGTTTGGTGTGATCTTCGCTGCTAGTTTGCAAGAGTTTGTCTCTGTTATTAAGATGAAAGCTATCACTAGGTGGATGAATCCAAAGTAATATTTAAGGGAACCCGTTCTTTGAACACATTGAGGCTTAAATATAAACCTCAAAACTTGAATTTTGATTTTTTTTTATTTATTTCATATTTGCATGAATTTAAAGAATTTATGATCATTATACTTGGTGCTTTGAAACAAGAAATGGTAACACACTGTAAAATTTAAAAAAAAAAATATATATATATATAGTATGCTAGACTCATTGCAGTTTGGCAGAATGTAAGATATTTATCATTCATTAGGTTCATTCATTAGATCATTCATAAGATGTTATCAGATATTTAAATATCAAATTAAATCTGTTATTGAGTAACAAAAGAAGCAATTTAAAAGCAATAAATTGAATGTTTTTTCTGCTTTTTAATCTGATGAATAAAAATGCATTTATATCATGAGGTACTTAGAAATATTAAATATTTTTATGAAAATACACTAGCTGCACTCATTAAGATCATAGTATTTTTCTTTTTATGATAATTATTTTAGGCAGATGGCTAATAAATAAAATTATTTATAATTTATTGCTTGATATCTTATAACTGGGAGATGGGGTGAAACTTTTATCTCTATTTATTTTAGGGCAGTATAAAACCAAACAAAGATAAATAATGAAATGTACTTGTGAAACTTTTGCCTATATCTGCAGTTTTATTTGCCAATCATAAAAACGAAAGTTTATTTTTCTTATAAATAGCACCTGTGGTGCTAACATATTAAAGACCAAAATCAAGCTTGACATGTGCAAATTATTACAAAAAGTATCTGGCTTCAAGTCTTGATGAAAACAGACATTATTCTTCACTTCAGTCCAGAACTAATTCTAAAAAATTAATCACTTGTACTATTGCTGACTTAGCAACTTTATTATTAAATTTAGTGACTTTCTTTTTTTGGGGGGGGGACATACTGGAATTTTTAAGTAGTTTTTTTTTTCTTTGGGAGTTCTCCATAAATTCTTCCTGACATTGGGTGCTTTGCTGTAAATATTTACTAGTTTCATGGAACTGTTAGCTTTTTTGCAAACCCTCAAATATATTGTCATTTGTTTTTAAAAGAATATGTGTTGGATTGCAAAATTCATACAGATAAAAGTAATCAATTATATCAAAGCAACGCAATACGCTTAAAAAAAAAGGGGGGGCAGTAGAAGGGAGAAAAGATGAAAAAAAGTTACTTTTGCTTCACTAGAACGAATTAAACCAGGGGAGTACCATTCTGTTATGTTTTGTCATATCATCTGAATGTTATCTAATAAAACATTAAATAATCACATCTAAATCAAACAAATCCTTTCTTTTCTGGGGGGGGATATATAGTTTAGGTACTTCCAAGAACCATTCATCTTTTGCTTAGCTTATAAACAAGAATTTAAAATTATAACTCTCAAGAATTTAAAATTATAACTAAAGTCTCTTTATTTGAACTAAAGGCTCCCCCGGCTCATGTTTTGTTGGAGAAGCATGTGTTTTTATAGTACGTGTATTTTAGATTTAAAAAAAATATATATAGAAATTTGAAATCATTGCTGTTAAAAAAACTGAGTCATATTGTAAAACATTATGTTTCAGGTAACGCATATGGAGGATACCAAAATTACAATGCACCTCCTGTTGCTCCAGCATATGGTTCAAATTCTGCACCACCGTATAATAGCATGCCATCAGCACAGTATTCTCAGTCATCCTATTCATCTTATGGTATTTGCTATTTTTAGATTATGCTATGTATAATTTTACTTTTCCATAATACTGAAATACAAAAAGTGCTGTACATAAAACTAATTTTTTATTTTTAAAAATAATCATCATAACTTCTAATGAGTGCTTTATTTCTTGAATTGTTAAAAATGAATCTCTATTTTTTTTTCATTAAGTGTCTAATAAAAATTATGTTCCTTTTAAAATAATTTTTAGGAACTGGTACACAGTACAATTACGCACAAACACCTAATGCCAGTAGCTATACCCAGCCTGCTGCAAGAACTTATTCTCAACCTCCTCCTGTTGGTTATTCAAATCCTGCTGCTAATAGTTATTCTCAGGGTGCTCCTGTTCCAGAAGCAAAAGCTCCAAATGTGTCTTCAGCTTACGGTAAAAATTTATTTACTATTATATTATTTCATGACAGAAAGCTAGAGAATTTTACTTTCTTCTAAGCAGAGTAAGCAATTTTAACATTTCGTTTGGTTTTGTTGTGTATTATTTTTGTATTTTTGGATGTTTCAATTTCAAATATTTCCTTTGCAGTAATCTGAAGTATAATATGTCTCAAGCTAAATTGAACTTTTTATGAAATCTTTTGTGTATAAATTGAGTTTTTTGGGGGGCAGTCCCATGGAATTTGTTTATCAAGAATTCACTGCATTATACAGTTCAGATGGTATCTCATTGCAAAAATTAATGATTTGCTGCTGTTCATGCCTCTTGTGTCTATTTCCAAAATAAAATATGCTTAAAAGATATATATATGTAAACATATACACATGAGTTACAGATTATTTTGTTAATATGAAAGAAGTAATAGATGCTGCAGAATAAAAAATGATGGCATAGCACATTATTTATATTAATTAGCATTTATTATGAAATGGAAAAACTAGCATTAGTTATTTCTAAGAACAGTATAGCTTTAACAAGATCTTCTTTGTTGGAGAGCCATAGATCCAATTTGATAAACTTTTAGAGCTGAGAACTTTCCACACTAACTTGAGTAGGAAGAAGAACTGTTACTGTTAGAGCTACTTCTTTTAACTTTTCAGGATATATTTTTTAAGTTCTAAAAGAGGTGTCTTGCAAACACAATCATCTTTCTCTATTTCTTCAAAGGCTGTGTAGAAATCTTGTTTGTATTTTTTCATTTTTATATCTAAAGGCTTTTGGTTCTTTATTTTCATCCGCTTTGCCTTAGCCTTTTCAATATTATCCAAAAATATTTCTCAAAACCTAATTCGTCACCGGAAGAGGATGATAGAGACCAATCAATTGCAATGTCTGCTGCAGTTGACTGTCCTGTTTCGAATGCTGCAATTGTTCTGAAAATAATTTCATTCTTAATGAAATTTCACAGATTGCTTTATTTGCCTTTTTAATTTGTTCGTCATCCAAGAAAATTTGGTGTTTTGAATCTACTTATATTGAATCCAGCAAGATCTGATTGTCTAGCAAACTAGTTTCTCTTTTCTTCATTGAAGAAACGATTCTTCGGCTATAAACCCTCCATTTCAGAAAGAACAAACATCCCGTTCTTTCCATTCTTGCCTTATGTCAATTCTTCAGTTTGCAGCTTTTTTATGGCTATATATGGTGTAGAAGAAGAGTTTCAATTCTGCAAGATCATTCCACAGTCTTTCTGTTAGTGAAACATTAGGGTTATCTACATCTTCTAAAAAAGTTCTTATTCTTCTAAAAACCTCTTTATCATCAAATATGTACTTCCTTATCGCGTTGCTTGATCAATAATTGCTCCTTTCCCCGCTCGCTTCCTAAGAATGGCATCAATTTTGGGAGTTCTTGCTGCTATTGTTACTTACATGAATTTACCATTGAGATTTGTAACTAAATGAATCAGTTTAATCACTAATGGCAAATTATCACATCTGTTCTTCCATATATTTATTTACTAATATGTCAATGAAATAGAAAATAACTATTTATTAATGTCTATAGTCCATAATAAAAATAATAACTCAGCTTGTCATTAATTTTTTTCAATTCATATTAATTTCTTTTCAAATTCAAACTATCCAATAAAAACTGGAGTCAGAATTGACCTGTTTTTAGCGACTCCACTTCCAACTCCTTTTAACCGTCAAATGTGCCCGACTCTGACCCCACAACCTTGCTGTGAACTATATAATTAAGATTTCCTGTGAGGTTCTTTGCTTCTACAAGACAGTTGATTACTTAGTATGTTATCAAAAAATTGGCAGATAAAGCAAGTGAAAGAATTAACTATCTAAATCTGAAAAGAACTGTGTTAATATCAGAAAAACGAATGAAGAAATGATTTAGTATGTTATCAAAAAATTGCCAGGTAAAGCAAGTGAAAGAATTAGCTATCTAAATCTGAAAAGAATTTTGTTAATATCAGAAAAACAAATGAAAATATTTAATCTAGATACGAACTTGAATATCAATAGGAGCTACATGACAGAATTCAGAAGTATTCAGGAGTGAAATTATATATTTGTATTATCCTGAAAGTAGAAAAACTACATTTGCATTAAATAACAAAAATTTCAGATGATTCAGAATTGCATGACAGTGTTGGGATGGAAATGAAATCTACACATGTTAGTGTACAAAGAAAAAAACTCAAGAAATGTAAAAAAGAGTGATATGAATAACAATATTTTAATCAGCAAATTTGTACAGTTGCAATATTAAGAGGTCATAGTAAGTGTTCAAAGTTACAGAGACCAGCTATGATATAAGTGTGATACTGGTGCGGCATAGAATCATGGACTGTATGGAATACACGAAGAGTCTCACGGATGATCATCCTATCCTACTTCACATGAAATGATCATACTCATTGGCCATGGGTATTTTTTATATCTGACTTTTCAAGTATCACCAGGGAAAGAAATTCGGACAGGACAGGCTCAGTGAATTTCAGGCCGTTAAATACAACCACCACAGCCAATCCATGTTTGACCACATATTGTTGTGCTGCAGCTGCCATATGCCTTGCTTATCTAACAGTCTGGGCAAGATTTTCTCCAAGAAAATCTTCTAATTATCTTGTAATCAGGCATGAGATATGAGCCTATAAGGCAGTCACCAACAATGCCTGACCAAACATTGACAGAAAACCAGTATCATGCTGCACATGCTTAGATACTCCTATGCATGCTGCACATGCTGCTACAATGCACATAACACATATCAGAGTTGCCAACTCTCCCGATTTAGGCGGGAGACTCCTGATTTTCGACCGATCTCCCCGCCAACCCGATTTACAATATATTTCTCCTCCCGACTTTTTCTTATTCTTAAAATTTCTCACGATTTTTATGGAATCTTGGCTTAATTCTTCTGTGTATATGATGAACCGTCCCCCCCCCCAAAAAAAAGTGATTTTGGACGTCTGAAAGCAATTGAATTTTCTCTAGATTATATCTAAACCAAAACCTTGCAAATCAGAATCAGAGAACTTTCTGCTTTGTGAGTGAGAGCATTATACGTATCTCATAAACGTCGTTCTCCAGTTCTCCAAAAGGCATCGAACTCCACTGCGTGTCATCTGGCATATATTAGCGAATGAGCACAAAGCAAGCAAAAGGCTGTTATTTGGATGTTCTCTTAGTTATTTCGTTCAATCTTGTCCTGAGTTGTGTGAGTGCACGTGCCTTCGGGAAATAGTTTTAGAATTTATCATCTTTTGTTATGTCTGTGAGAATGAAATATACTCGTGTACGTTTCAAAAATCGTACACAGTTTGACTTTCCTTCCATTATTTCCTCAAGGAAATGTAATAAATTTGCGATGTGCACCGCCTGTCGTTGCGATTTTTCGAATTCGCAATGTGGAAGGGTGGATGTTCTCAAACATGTGCGAACACAAAAACACAAGGATAACATGAGTTTGTTTTTAAAAAAACGAAAAATTTAATTTTTCTTCTTCGAAACAAGGACCAAAAAGTTATTAATGCAGAATGTCTGTTCTCTGCCTTTTTACTGGAGCACAACCTGCCACTGAATGCATCGGATCACGCTGCAGCTTTATTTAGAAAAATGTTTCCCGATAGTGAAATTGCTAAGAAATACTCAAGTGCAAGAACCAAAACAGGTGCAATTGTTTAAAGAAATGATTTGAAAAATAAATCTTCAGTTATTGATTGCCACAAACAGCTCCGTTCTGCCTCTCTACGGATAGAAGCAATAATACTGATTCAAAACTGTATCCATTGTTTTTCCTTTTTTAATCCAGATTCTTAAGAAATGAGTGCAGTTTATTTTCTGTCCCCATTTTAGAAGGACATTTGACAGGCTTTAATTTACCACAGCTAATTATTAAACTTTAAAAGAAAATGCAGGCCCTCTGGATAATTGCTTAGCACTTGGTGCCGATAATGCACCAGTATTGGTAGGCTTGAAGACTGGTGTTGCAGGCATCTTAAGAAAGGAAAAATTCAGATTTGCAGATTATGAGGTGCACCTGTCACCTCTTAAATTTAGCAGCTGAAAAAGGGGCAGCTTCTTTACCAATAAATGTGGATGAACACATTGTTGATTTATTATTATTTTGAAAGGAGTTCTAAAAGGAAGGAAAAATTGAAACAGTTCCAAAGCTGCATAACAGCAGTTTACAATTAGAAAACTTGAATGAAGTTTATAAAATCAGCTAGGATGACACCCAGTGGAGTTTAATTGGAAAACTGAAAGGTGCTTGATGGAATTTTAAAATATAGCCAACTGTCTAGAATTGTGTTGGCCATCTTGACAGTTCCCCGATAGTAGTACAGAGTGTGAGAGGATTTTCAATGTTGTTGCGTAAACGAGGACTAAATTTAGATCTAATATTAGTGATGACACATTAGAAAAACTTTTCTTAGCGAAAGCAGGCCTACGTGTCAATTGCAGTGAACAAAATTAGTTCTTTAACAAAGAAACTTCCTAATTTTCTAAACTTAAATTCCCTCTTCCCCCCCCCCCCCCCCCCCCCCGTAAACGATGCAAGTAATAAAAATTTTTTTATGTGTAAGGTATTTTTGTGTTGCTTGCATTTAAGAATTAGTTACTATTAAAGTTAATTCGTTATTAAAAACCATATTTTTATCATTTTAAAAAGTCTTTTTAAACATTGTGGGAAAATCTCCTGATTTTTGAGTGTCATAGGTTGGCAAGTATGACATATGTATGTGCAGTTATTCCCACTGCACATACATATGTGTTATGTGCATTGTAGCAGCCTTCCCTACTAAAGTATGTCTTAGCGATGAATAGGTTATCAGTTAAAGTGAAGTTTCAGGTACCGTTTAACAAATGCATCTCATGATGCATTTTCAGCAGGAAGGAGTTGATATACATACAAGTGATTCAGATGCAGAATTGTCCCTGTTATTTGGGAAACAATGAAGTTTGTAGTAATCGCTCATGTGCTGACATGGGGATTCCCTTCTGCATAATGAAGCACCATCTCTTCTACTTTAGGTGTCCGTGTTATTCATTTCTAAACTCCTACATATACTAAATCTATCCAGTGCTGAAGCTATTTTGCACTGGTGCTGTTTTAAGCTATCCAGTGCTGGTGCTATTTTGCAGCTTGCCTTTGCAGATCCTAAATTCTGCTACCAAGTGCATCCTTGCTCGGTGCGGCCACACCAACCCTGATGCCATTACTGGGCTTATCTGAATAGCAAATTAGTTATTCTCAGTTCAAATAGCACAAAATGTAATCTATTGGTCAACGAGTATCATTACAAAATCTCCCCTTTTTCCATATGGAAAGTAATTTCTCTTCGTTAAAATTTTACAGTGTACTTAGCTGAAGTTTGTAATCATTGCCAAGCATAATGTCAATGTAAAAAGGTAACCCTGCTCTTTGATATTCAGGTACTAATATTTAAAAGAAAAATTCTTTAGACATTGCAGTATGAGTCATTTCTCAAGCTGCCATGTGTCGCTAGTCATTCAATGATGAAAACAAAAAGTAATGAATGATAATTCACCTGTTAGCGTCAGACGTATAAGTTAGTAGCTCTAAAATTGATGTTTCGATGGAGAATTTTTCAGTTTGCAATACATGCCTAGCAAAAAGGCAGCTATGGAACCAATATACAGATTTATGTTAATGAATGATTGTTTCGTTGATGCGGAGGTATTTTATTTAATGCTGAAGTAAAATTAAGAATAAGGACCCTCTACATGATTTATTAAAAAAATAGCAGATGCTCATGTGTAAAGCATGAAACAAAATTTGGCACAATTCGGTTTTGAGAGCCGTAAAAAATTGCCAAACTATTGTTGATGCCATTGCTGCCAAAAATAATTGTGGCAACCGCAACACAAGAAAGGGAGTATAGTAAATAACTATCTAAGCTTGATGTTTTAATTTAGATGAAAGGTTAATTTCATATAATACTTTTTTTTATTATATAATTTATATAAAAAAGGCTAAACATGACTGAATGGAAGCATAAAGTAAATAACTATTTCAGATCATTATTATAATTTGTATAAAAATTGCTAAACATAACTGAATGGATGCCTGCATCACTATTTTGTTACCGAGTTTATTGCTAAAGCATACTTTCATCTCGTTGGTTCAAACATAATTTTCTATAATGAATGATGCCTTTTCTTTGAAAAAATTTTCGGTAAAGTGCAGAATCGCCCACTTATTTTTTTCCACTTTTTACAAGGGTAAAAACAATTGGATTTTTGTCAATTGTCTTTTACTTTATAAGTGAAAATAGGTCGATGTGTACATAGTGTGTCACATTGTCACACTATGTACAATAAAGGGTGTGCGCAGTGCCATTTTTGTGCAATTCTGGGATTTTTTTTTTTAAAGTGAAATACATGATGTATACATGGATACCAAGTATGTGCAATTCTTAAAAACGCGTCAAGCAGTGGGTGATTCTGCACGTTACCCAAAATTCTATTGCAGACTTTTCGTCATGGGCGATTCTCAAATTGTTAAATCCATAGGATATCAAAAAGGATTTAAAAATTAAACTAGTATTTCAATGGCATCTTAAGAATTATAGAACTATATAAACTTACGCAATCTGAAATCGGCGCGTACGCTAGATTTGGCGCTCTGTTAAATGGGCGCGTTTGCTAGATTGGCGCTTTTGCGCATACATTTCCCTGCAATTTTTTTACGGCCCTTAAAAAAACGGAATTGTACTCAAAATTTCTGTATAGATATATATATAAAATAATAATAATAATAATAAAAAGACGTTACTGCAAGAGCCATTTCTCAAACTGCCATGTATTGATAATTATGTGGTGATGAAAGCAAAAAATAATAAATACTGATTTGCTAGGTTGTTGTTGTTAGGGATATAATTATTCAGTAGGTGTAAAATCTTTTTTTTTTTTTTTTTTTTTTTTTTTTGTGTGTGTGTGTGTGTGTGTGTTTGTTGTGTGTTAGAATGTTTTGTTTTGAGATATATGACAAGCAAAATGGCAACTGCAGAGACAAATTGTTGGTCATACAGATTTATGCTAACATAACAAATGATTTTTTTCATTATAGAGGTATTTTATTTGGTGCCAAAGTAAAACTAAAAATCAGGACTTTCCACGTGTTTTACTGTGAATAAATATCAAATGTGCATGGGTAAAACATTAAAAAGGGTTGCTTGTACTCCAGAGGTCTGTATTTTAGATTAGTCTTGATACTGGACATTCAGATTTTAGACTGTGTACTGTATTTGTCTTTTCTGCTATCCTGAGCCATGGCCTATTCCGAAAGCAGCATCGGCACAGCAGAAAGTGACAGAGAGAGAATCAGAAATTTAGCGCACATCTGTTAAAAATTGCATCATAACATGATTTCAAATTGTATTTCCAAAATTATTAGTCAAAAAATGTGACACTACTTGTTGTTTATTAGTCGTATTTGGAAAAAATTTGTATTTAGTGCAATTTGTTTTTCTGTCTTTGCCTTCTATATTTGAAATAAAAGTACGGGTTAGTTATAGAAAATGTTTTATAAATAAAATATTTTGTGTGTTATCAACTGCGGGTTATATTTTGCTATATTAAAAACTTATTTCTAGTTAAATTTTCAAAATACAATTTTTTAATTATCTTTAGTCATTATTATAAGTTTAAATTACTGGCATTTAAACAGTTTCACTGCCATATCCAGTGACAATGAATTATTCCATTTTGACAGTGAATTATTAAAGTACTGCCTAATTAAATTGTATGTTATGTTAATAACACTGCTGTTAATTCTAGTAAATTTCATAATAAATTTGTAGAATATTGTACTTACATAAAACTCAGTTATGTATTGAATGTACAGGGGCATTAAATTCACTGCATATTAATAAAATTGCAAGTTTTTGTTAATAATTAAACTTAACAGCATTATGTCTCTATATGCAATGAAGTTAAATTTATAGCTTTTGAAGAAAGGAAACAGCTTTCTTCTTTACCTTTTTTCTTGAGAATATTTTTTAATATTAAAAATAAAGAAATTTGGAGATATAAAATTAGGTTTTAGTTTCATGACCGAACCCAGTTTTGTATTTATGTAATGTATAGTTATTTATTATTATTAAAGTCATGTGTTTTGGATAATTACCATTAAGTGTTCATTTGTATTTTTATATTTTTTCTTCTGCTCAGTTAATTATGCATGCTTTTTGTTTATTTATGGTGCATCTTAAAACTTTTGTCTTTTTTCCTCTTATATCCTAGGAGCCGCTTCAAGTGCTCCAAGTGCATCTGGTTATGGACCACCAAAAGCATATACTTCAACTTTCCCCAAAGCACAAACTTATGCCAGTACAGATGGTATGTATTTTAATTGAGTTTTAGAAAGCTCATAATTAATTCTAGTACTTTTCTGTTAATAGAATCCCACTTAACATCAAACGGTGACATGAAATTTAACTAAGTGGTGGCAGTCCTAATGATAAATAAAGTTTCATGACAAAAAAAGACTACTTTGTTATATTCAGAATAAATACAAAATAGATTTTACCAGATTAATTTCTAATTATACACGAGTCACCGCTGCCAATTTAATATTGCCGAAAGCATTTGTGTCTTTTCTTGCAGTCATCACAACATGAATTTGATGATGTTGGAATCTGGATAGTGGTAGCCAGCACCGTTTATTTCACCATTTTGCATATGACTACTCATATGAGAATCAATAACATTGAATTTGTTTTAACTTGCAAGGTTTTGAATCCAGCAGCTGCTGCCAATTCATCCACTTAAGTACTGGAAATCTATGTGAGAAAATTCCTGGGTTGATGTCTCTTATTCTCATTTATTTGCCCTGATGCCATTGCATAGTTTTTCATGATACAAATAAATAGGCTATCATATTTGTCAATTACTGCCCCATTAATGAAAAAGTAGTGTAATTCGTTAACAAAATGAATATTTTTAGAATCATTATGAAGAAAGAATCCAAATACTTTTATGCACTTTAGTAAAGAACTGTTTTCTTGTTTCTGATTTTTACCTGAATGTAATCTAATAATAAATTATTTTTGACATAATGTTATAATATTAGTTATGATCTACACAGACTCCAAATACTAGGAATTTTTCATAGTTTCTCCAAAAGTTCCTGGAAAAATATGAGGTATGGAAAATGAGAAAAAGACTACAGATTATTCAGAAAAAGGACAGGAGAATAGTATGCAAAATGGAATCAACTAATTAATCTGATGATTGGCTGAATGCTCATGACATCATATATTACATATTGAGTATGTTATGATTTTGAAAAGTAGCCAGTTGTAGATTAGTAAATTTCGAAGTTTAATCTCTGTAATTTAATTCCCTGCAGTTAAAGACTTGATTACCCTGCTTTGTCCATTTGTTTAAATTGCAGTGAGCGTGTAGCATGCATATCTTGTGAATTGTGATTAGCTGGAATTTTTTTTGTGAATTATGCTGCCTCAAACCAAAATGCTAAAATTATCAAGCCAGAAATTAAAATTCATACTTTTCAGGATTCTCATGCATTAGAGTTTCTGAAATTTTCTTAATCATGCATTGCAGTGTATGCAGCAAATACTTCTCAGTTGTGTTGTCAGTCTTAGGAAAAAATTTAGATGCGACTATACCAAATGTGTTGCATTTGCGAAAATGCTTGCAGAAAGTACTGTTGCTGATGTTATAAAATGTATCATTTGCTCTAAATACCCTTTGATTATGACATATTATAGCAAAGAAAAGGAAGAGGTAATTACTTCATTGATTTTTATTTTAGAATGCACAAATAATACTGGAAAGGTTATTTTTAATGGTATAAATGAATACTTTATCAGCAAAAGTTTAGAATGGAAGAACTTATTTTCTTCAGACACTGCTAGTAATATGTTGGGAAAATTTGAAGGTGTAGTATCATTTATCAAACTACATCAACCAGCTGTAATCATCTGAGGTTCTTCAGCCACTTTTTTGCATATAGCTGATAATGAACATGTAATTGGTTCAGAAATAGGAATGTTGTTAATAGATAATATTTTTACTTAGAGGAAAGCTCAAAACGGAAGCACAGCTTCAAACTTGCTGAATAAATATTGGGACAGAATCCAAAATCTCATAAGATTTTGAAATACTGCAGTATGAGGTGGCTTTTTCTTTTAGAATTTGTAACAAGAATTGTGGAACAGTTATATGCTGTGATTAATTTTTGTGTTGATCAAGTAGGAAACAATGAAAAGTGAAGGAAAGAGATGCGAAAAGATTTTAAAAAAATATTAGTCACCCAACACCGAATTGTATTAATTAATATTGAAGTATGCTTTGCCATTATTTATAAAAGTAAATATTATTTTGCAGTGCAAGCTCCTTATATACACAAACTGAGAAGAGAATTTATTGAACATTTAATAAATTTTATATGTTAGATTTGTAAAACCGTCAGTAATTTCTAATAAAAATATAGTTGTTACTTTGACATCTATTCTTTTACAAAAGTGTAATAAATGAAAGAAAAATGGAAGTTTAGTGATTGATGCTGAAACAAGTTTATGTATAAAAAATGCGAATGTTCATATATGGCAGATAAATTTCTGCTAACATGAGTTTGAGAACTCACATTTCATTTAGTGGTTTTTATTAGTTATAAATGAAGATAAGAACTTAATGCCAATTAATGATTATCTTTCAGCTATCTTATGTATTGTAAAAGTATGAGCATAACCAAGTGAATTTACAATAATTTTATCTGTATGTCTTAATAACATATTACAATATAAATTATTATATGCCATAAGTCTGAAAAACGAAATGTTTTTCTTAGGAACATATGATACATCAATTGCAAAATTTCCAGCTCTGATCTTTTTATTCATTATCATCTGTATATAAATAAAATCTAATAGTAATGAAATTTTATATAATATACGAATTACAATCCTGTCTATATTTTTGTGCTTCTATTCTCCTTTTTATTATATGCAAATGATATAATACTGTGTTTTTTTTTAATATAATGCATTTATTCATACCATTTCATATTTATAAACAAATATCTGAGCCATCCTTTTATATTTTTTTATAACAGTAAAATTTCATTTTTATCAATTGACAGCAATAGATATAATTTGTGCTTAATGATAAAACTCTGTACCCTGCAATTTGAAATTTTCTGAATGCAATTTTTAAAATTTTTTAACCATCTTTGCTTGTATTGTAGAATTAATTTCATAATTTTTTTAAGTGTCTTTAATTTAAAAAAAAAATACCTTTCTTAAGAGTTTAATGAATGAAATTATGTTTTAAGAAATATTATTCCCAAATTCTGTTCGGTATAAAAGTTTGTATAAAAAAACTTCTGTGATTTGATTTTAAAACTTAAAATACATTGAACTGATTTTAATTTTGTTCCTGATAAATTGTTTAAGATCTACAAATTTTTTATCACATGAATAAAAAAAAAAAAGAGAAATTATCTTTTTGGGGAGGGATGTTAACATTCTACAATTAAATAATTTGTTTTTAAAAAAAGAGAGCTAGAAAATAAAACACTTTCTAAATAATAACGATTTTTTTTCTTTTTGTAACAGTGTGCAATCTTCGCTAATTAATATAATTTTTATGACGTATTTAGTTACTCTTCAGAGGAGCGATTTAAGTTAGCTCACATTGTTATTAGCCATTTGTTAAGCAAATTGGTTTTTTGCAGTTGAGGGTTTCAAGGGAATCCGTGTATATGTTAGTATGGGAAGTGGCAAGCAGTTACTAGTATTGTTCTTAAGTAATGTTGCAGGGTCTCGTTGTATGTCAGATTCTATCTAATCGAAATGACAAATGGTAGGTTGTTTTTAATTCTTTCTTTGATTCTTGGAAAAGCAAATCATAAAAATGACATTAGAAATGATGTACAGTGCAAAGATAGATCAGAAAACACACTGCATTCTTGATTTAGAAATAGCCATGAGTAATGTGGGGAAATGTGTGGGATGTATGTATACAGAGAAACCACTTTTAATACAGAATTTTCTTAAAATGCTGTGTTTAATGAGAAGGATTGCCATGAAAAATATGAAGTGAGAATTTCTGTAACACATAATGGAGATGTGCCTTTTGAACCAGATTTTCAGAATGAAAATTAGTGTGCGTTATTTTGTTATAAATTTTATTAGGACCACTGAACATTGCATTGCATTAAACAAGAGACATGAATGAGAAACTTATATTTAAGAAATCATATATTGTTTAACATTTAAAAAGTAGAAAGATTAATATTTTACTTGCAATCATATGTGCTGTATTAGTGTTACTTTTATCGTCATAAAAATATTCTACTAATGTTTTGTTTTGTTTTAGAATCATAGATAGTATTGTCATTTGAGAAATTTCTTTACCTTATCATAAATAAAGCTTTTTAAATGTATTTTAGAATATTTTTTTAAATTGAAATTGTTTTGAAAATAATTTCTTTTTAAAGGTATGGGCTACAGTGGTCAAGGAGTGGCATCAGCATCAAAAAATATTGGTTATCATCCATATAGACGCTAAATGTTTTATTTTTATTGTATTGTTTATATTTCAATAAACATTTAAGAATTTTAACAGTTCAATGTTTGAGAGTGTTGTAATGTCAAATTTTCTTAAATAATTTAAAACAGAATTATTTTTTTCTACTTTTCTGGATATTCTGTATGATAAAAATGAAATTTCACTTTGTCTTTTGAATGTGCTTATTTTCTCATATATTTTGTTTCTCATATATCACTATACTCATAAAAGCTTAATATTTCACTATCCTGAAATTCATATTAAAATGTACAAAAAATATGATCATCCAAAATCTTCATTTAAATTATTGTGAAACTTTTTAATAGATTTTAATCAACACTTATTCTGTTCAAAATGTATCTTATATGCAAATCCATACACTTATTTTTTTTCTCAGCTTTGTGAAAACTCCTAGATTGCCAAAGTTTATCAAGATCAAAATTTCCATTCCTCATTCAGAAAAGATTGTGTTAAGCTATCGCTTCGAAATTTTCACTTAAATCTAAATTTTGAAAAAGAATTTCTACCATTAATTGTTTCTGAAGACTTTTAAATGAATAAGCAGATTTATTGGTATAGCCATAGTTAGACAAATGCAGAAATATTTTACCATTCCTCATTAAAATTTCTTCACAATTGCACAATAAATGCCTCTTTAAATGGACTCTTGAGGACTCATTCAGAAAGTAGCTTAATCATATACATGCAATCTTGTAATATTAATATCTGAATACCTTAGCTTCAAATCAAAAATTGTTGTTGTGTTTTGTAATGTATTCTCAGCAGTATTGATTGATCTGAGTATTGATATTGTATGCGGTATATTGTATGCTGAATTACTTTCCTGGTAAAAGAAAGAACTTTTCTCAGAGTATTCTGTCCCTGTATTGGAAGTGTATAATTGTCTGAGATGTTTTAGTACAGCATTCTTTGCTTTTTTAGTAGTAATTAATGGACTGAAGCAAAATTTTGAAAAGTTCCCTTGTGCCTCTTTTCAGACAATAGAGAGCATTTTGCAAGGTTACCAGTGGCTTCTGAATTTCTGCATAATTGTTGTAACTCTTATGATGGCATGACCATCCTTAGATAATAAAGTTAGTTTGCATTGCATTCTGGGCCAAACATGCCTGTTAATTGGAAGTTTTTTTTTAACCCCAGATGGGCTGTTAGTTTTCAAACGGAATTTTGCATTGAGTCACTAGATGGTCGTCCAACTCTATGAGTACATGAAGTTGAAGGCTGTGAATTGTCAAAATATTCCTCCTTTTTTTTTTCAGCAGTGCCTGAGCAACACTTCTTTGAAAATCTAACAAGGAAATTTTGAGGTCTACAGCAAGGTTTCTCGGCCAGTGGTACGCAAAGAAGCGAAGTACTTTTAACTATTAAATTCAAAAACTAAAACCTCAACATCCTAATTGCGTTTTTTCTCCAACATTCATAAATTTATGTGATCCGAGCTTTTTTCAAGAGTGGTGGGGGTAGTAGAACTTTGTAGTGGTGGTACTAAAGATTTTCAGTTTTTGTTTAGATGGTACACGTTAGGCAAAAGATTGAGAACCGCTGGTCTACAGCAATCTCATAAAGTTTTCATGCATTTGTTTTAGGCACATCTATAAAATTCGTAAAAATATTCCACAACCATCTCTTACGTTTTACTTGCACTCTATACATCGCAGCAAAATTGTCCAGAAGATCGATGCCACCCATATATTTGTTATAATTTCCAATGAGTTTGATGCATTTTACAGATACAGATTTGTTTTCTTTCCTAGAGTACCTTTTGGTTACTGAAGGCAGATCAGTCATATCAAAATTAGTTGCCATAGTTACGACAGAATTGTCATTCCATCGAACTACTATAATGCCATTCTACTTATCAAATGCAGTGTCGTATGTTCCTCATTCTTCTTTTTTCATTTTGTTTACAGATACAATAGGACAATTTCCTAATCTGTTCTCACAAATTGCTCCAGTGGCATGAAATCCCAGCTCATTCAATTCCGACAATAACCTGTGTGACGTAAAAAAGTTGTCAAAACATATGTAATGATTTGAAGGAACTTCCGCGACACTTAAGACATGTGTTACGTCTCCATCTAGTCCAAGATCAGTCAGTTTCCTTGCAGATTTTATTGAGTATATATCAAAATGATATAAATAGCATTTAGAGGAACACAAATATCTTTTTTTAGATGTTTCGGACATTTTAAAATTTTTTAATAAATTTGATGTATTTTTACTTTTTTTAGATAAAAAAATCTCGATCTCGCCTGATACATATTTTGGTATGGACAAATTATCATCTAACACATTATCATTTATGCATTCTTCATCAGTCAGAATGTCTGGGTGAATCACAACTAAATCTGTTTCATTTTGACCATCATTATCTCATGAAAGTTCTGAAATATTATCTTCATCTAACACCTTCATAAATTCTAATGCTTCATTTAATGTCGAAGACTATTGTCTTGATAGTCCATTACTTTGGAACTTGCATTACATTGGTTGTTTTGGGGAATCTGTAATAGAAAATATCACCATCTATGAAATTTGTAAACATTACAAAGACACCACTTTAAACTGACGGTGCGTTTTCACAGCATTTAAAAAATACATATTTATTCCCACTAAAGTCAAATAACTACCTTACCTTTTGATGCCATTTTATCATCTAATGTTTCTACAAGACTGTCATTTGTTCATAAAATCATTTGATTACTTGTACCCTCTATGAGATGTACTCAAAATTAAAAGAAATTTGCAAAAATGTATCAAAATGATCTTTTATTTTCATAAAACATTTTAAAGAAAGAGGAACCCCATGAAACAATGAAGCTTAATCTAAAATATACAAAAGTTTTAAGGGAAAAAACATTTTATAGAATATTTAAAAAAAATGGTCTTGAGTAATGTTGTGAAAATGCAACGTCAGTCGCTAATGGGTTAAGAATCCTCTGATGGAATATCTTGCAAAATTCTTGTTCATATGGCATTTCATTTTATAAGCCTCTTTGCTCCATTAACTGTGGCATCTTGCGTGTTCACCTTTTACACTATACCCTGCATGCATCTTTATAAATATTAAGGTAATGTTATGCCTACTTAAATTTTATGAATGATAAGTAGTGTTCAGGTATTAGTGGTAATGCATAGTATTTTAAGTAAGATTGGTTCAAGTCTTCCTATAATACAACGTTCAAGAATTTCTCCAAGAGCTTTTATGTATAATTTGAATGCAGATTCTATCTGGTCCAGGAGCATTTTTGTTATTGAGTTTTTTAATAATTCGATTGAGTTCCATGGATGTAAATGGGATATCATTTTCGTGGAAGTAGATTAAAACGAATTAATCTTTGTTCAGTTGAATCATCATATATGCTTTCGTTTGGTAGAATAACATCTAGGATGTTTTCTAAAGTGATCTTCGTAACATTTTTATCATTATTTCCCGTATTAGTGACTGTAAGTTGCGTTGGGTGGAAGATTTTGTTGGTTTCAATTTTGTACAATGAGCCATACGTATCCTGGTTGTTTGAACAATAGTTGCACCATGCTTTAGATTCATTGCCTGACAGAATGTTTTTCTACAAAGGGCGAATTTTTAGTTTTCGTTGTTAGGACCTAAAGCCAAGCAGAGAAATTAACTCTTTCGCATCGAAGTCGCCCGAAACGCCCGTCCATTCAGGCAACAGCAAACCGCCGCAACGCCTCGTTTATTTTCTACCTAGTTCTTTCCCCTCCACGTTAGTGTGTATGGCTCATTGGTTTCGCGAGTTGTTAAAAGACATGTCAATCATTCTTTTGAAGCAAATAAAGGAGAAAAACGGAAAGCTATTGACGTTCGCAGGTGCAAACCGGCCCTAAGGTGAAACTGCACACAATGGATGAAACCGGAGGGGGAAAGGAAAACTATTCCAAGACAAATTCGTAAACACGGGCGTTTTCGATGTTTATTGAAAACAGATTTGGTCGTCCCTCGATGCGAAAGAGTTAAAGCATTTGGCATGATTTGTATGCAATAAGCGACCACCATGAATCTCACGTAGAGCGTAATAAGTTGCAAAGTTTTAGTGCCTTACTTTTCCTTACTTAATTTTTACATAAGTTGTAATAATAATAATAGTAATAATAAACAGGTGGCTTAAAAGCAGAGGGAAAGAATGGCGAAAATTGCAAAATAGGAGGAAAAAATGAAACTGAAATGAAAAATGAAACAACTACAAACAAAGGATGGAAAAAGCATTTTAGAAGATATACAAGTAACGTACTTTCTGAATCAGCAAAATTGTATTTAAACGAGTATAAGTTTGAAAGCTTTGGATTCATTTACATTTTTGAATCAATTACTATTTCTTACGCATGCCAGATATATTAAATTTCTTCAATTTTTGTATAATTTACTTACGTATTTTGTATTTTAACCTTTTCTTATTATTATCCCAGTAGAGGTAACCTGACACCTCATTAAATTATCTCCGAGTTTCCTCATTTAAGTCATCTTCCTGTCAGATCAATCTCTTTGCATCGCTGGCTGCAAAGGTTTCAAATTTTTTCTCGTTATTCCAAATTCGGAATATATTGCTGGTCTATTTCGTGGTACAGCAGAGGAGCACTAGGAGTTTTGCCACCATTCGTTTTCAATTGAAAATTTTATTCTCATTCTTCAGTTGCATTCTTAAAGTTTTAATTATTTATACAGGAAGAATGAAAGAAATCAAACAAAGCAAAATAAATTACGAAAAGAAATATCTGTTTTCTCCTATATTTATTGTTCCCTGTAATTTCTTTTGCCTGTTCCATTAAATTTATTGAAGGAAAATTTGCGAAGTCTTACAAAATGTATTTCCTAAATCCTAAGCGAATTAAGCCTTTCTGAGCGTTTCGGCTACACTTTAATGGCTTTTAAAATGTAATGTTAGAATATTGACAGCTGCCTATACTGAAATATTTTCTCCATAGTCCTCGAAAAAAGAAGAATTAAAGTTCCAGGAGATTATACAATGAAGGACACACATTTCTTATTTGAAGGGCAAGAGAAAAAAAAAGATATTTTCGGATGGGAATAT